GCGCCGCGCGGACCGCGCCCGCGGGCACGGCGCCCGCGCGGACCGCGCCCGCGGGCACGGCGTCGACGACGCGCGGCGCGAGCGACTGGCTCCGCTGGCCGTAGAAGGCGCCCTCGCTCGGGTTCGCCGCGCCCGGCGGCGGCCGCGCGGCGACGGCCGTCGCCGTGACGACGGCGCCGCCGCCGCCGGCCGCGCTCCGCGCGGCGACGGGCGCCGCGGTGACGACGGGCGGCACGGAGCGGCTCGGCCGGTTCGGCGCGCCGAAGTTGTCCGCGGCGCCGCCGGAGCGGCGCGGCGCCGCCGCCGGCGGGGGCGCCGCGTAGGCCTGCTGCTGGTCGTAGGCCTGCTGCGCCGCGTAGGCCCGCTGCTGGTCGTAGGCCCGCTGCTGGTCGTAGGCCCGCTGCTGGTCGTAGGCCTGCTGCGGCGCGTAGGCCTGCTGCGGCGCGGGCGGCGCGGCGCCGGGCTGGCGCGGCCGTCCGTACTCGTCCTCGTAGGGGTTCCAGGGCGGCGGCTGGCCCGGCACGCCGACGGGCGACGGCTGCACGGGCCGGCCGTAGGCGTCGCGCTCGACGCGCGGCGCGGCGCCGCTGCCCTGGCGGTCGACGTAGCCCGTGCCCCCCGCGAAGGACCGCGTGTGGACGTCGTCGTAGGCGGACCGGCCGTTGGCGCCGCGCGCGGGGAAGACCGTCGCGTAAAAGTTCGCGAGCGCCGAGTAGAGCGGCTCCGCGGCCTTGGGCCGGTCGACCTTGCCGCCGAGGACGTCGCGCGCGCTCACGGCGTAGCCGTAGAACTTCTCGTTGACGTCCTTGCGCACGGACACGTAGGCCGCGTCGACCGTGACGCCGCCGTAGGCGCCGCGCGACTGGCTGTACGACATGTACGCCTCCGAGTTCGAGCTCGGCCCCGCGCCCGCGACGTAGGCCTCGCCCGTCGCCGTGCGGCCCAGCGGCCCCAGCGCGAAGGACGCCTCGCCGCCGAGCATGACGTTGGACACCTGCTCGTTGGAGAACTTCTCCATGGTCTCGCGGTCGATGCCCGTGACCATGTCCGTGACCTCGGCGCCGAGGCACGCGCCGAAGGTCACGCCGAAGGAGCCCACGGCGCAGGGCGCGGACCACGTGTTGTCCGGCAGCTTGGCGACGACGCAGCCCGTCGCGAAGCGCAAGCCGCCGATGAACGCGATCTTGCCCACGGTCATGAACATGAGGCCCTCGACGGCCTCGAGCATCTCCGTGCAGTACTCGTTGTCGCGCTCCCAGTAGTTGACGTTCTCGCGGTCCGTCAGGTTCTGGAGCGTGTAGGCCGCCTTGCGCACCTCGCCGCCGAGCGTGAAGCGCAGCGGGCTGTTCATGTAGCGCGTCGAGCCGTCGTCCTCGAGCAAGTTCTCCCGCAGGCTGTTGGAGTTCGTCGCGATCCAGCGCTGCTGGTAGGGCACGAGCAGGCGGTAGCACGTGTTGCAGACGCGCTGGGGCTCCTTGATGTTCCACTCCGGCGGCAGCATGGAGTTGCGCGCGCTGCAGTTGCCGCAGTAGATGTTGCCGCAAAACCGGCAGTGGTGCCGCCGCTCGAGCACGCTGTCGAAGGCGACCTACGACGCGGCGCGTGCGGTGGCGGCGACTCTCGGACAGACGCGGAGACGCGAACCGTGCAGGCGCGGCCCATGCAGCGCTGCGTCGTGCGGTCGTCGACCCAGGGCGGCGGCGCGGACGGCCAGGGATTCCCGCCCGCCGGGGGGGCCTCGCCGGCGCTCGGCGGCGCGATGGGGCACGCCCGCGCGTCGCCGCGCTCGCCGGGCGCCGGCGTCCGCGACATGAAGCTCATGGCAGGCGGCGAACTGCGGCCGCCTCCGACGTCTCGCCTCTCGATGTGCTCGCTTTCGATCGAGCTGCTCGTTTGCCCTCGATCCATACAGTGCGGTTGCCGTGCAGGCTCTCAGCGCCGCGCATAGACGCGTCGCCGCTAGCCTCGCTGGGAATCATGGGTGCCGGTGCATCGACGGAGGGCCAGACGGCCGAGACGCTCACCCTGGCGCGCACGGCGTCCAAGGGCCGCGAGAAGTACCTCGCCGCGGAGGACGTGACCGACCTCGACAGCGCCAAGGAGGAGATCAAGCGCCTGCGCGGGCTGCTGACGGCGACCTTCGACGCCAACGACAACGGCGTCGTCGACTTTGGGGAGATGAAGCACCACGTTTCCGTGGAGAACGGCCACCACGTCATCGACGCGCTCGTCGCGACGAGCGGCCCCGCGTTCGCGGCGCTCGTCGGCGCGACGTCGAACGCGCCCGAGACGTCCTTCGACCTGGGCTTCATCGCGGACCAGGACCAGGACTCGCGGGCCATGAAGGACGCCGCCGGCAAGGAGAACGACGAAGCGACCCTCACGACGGCCTTCGCGACGGCCAGGCTCACGTACCTCGGCGACGGCGACGTCCGGCACAAGTTCGAGCTCGTCGACGACACGCTCGTGAGCGTCGGCACCCACAAGGACGACTCCGACAAGA